TGTAACCTTGATCTTTCTGTCAGTGGCTATGTTGACGGTACTGAAACTGTTTGTTTTTGTTGAATCCTCTTCCAATTACATTTGTGGTAATAAATAAAACATTACACTCGCTTCAATTTAATATCAAGTTTATGTCCTACTTGAAATAATTTGCACTTGGATAATAAACTTCATATTGCATTAAAGTGAGTGTAATATCCTATAAACACCTTATCCTGACTCAACAAATAAATCTTGCCCTATGCACATGATGCAGGGGTCGACACCTTGAGTTCAATCCAACTTGTTCACAGTTCATGTCGAACTAAAGGTTTATGTTACATAAATAAGAGCAACAAACCCTTTCCATATTCGTCAGAAGAAGGCCTATCGGCTAATAGCTGAGTCAATTTGTGATTCTGACATCATGAGCATGTGTTTATGAATCACAATCAAATAGTGATGATACGAAGTGTTCACGAAAAGGTGAGTGTATCCTGCCTCACTGGTGGCAACCATTGGGAGACATTCCTTTGTTTCAGTACTTTCAGGCTAGCAGACATGTAAACATGTTGAATCAACCCAGTCCTAAAGAAAGAAGGGTTCAAAATTGTTAAGATAGCAAGTAATGAAAGGAAACAACCACAAATCAAAAAGGATGACATCTCTTGAAGATGTCTTGTGAATGACATCATGCGTATGTGACGTCAACGTGTTCATTATGCCAGATAACAAAGGAACTGGATGTTCCTTGCACAAATCAGACAATCTGCCACACATTAGCTTCGCTTATTCAATGATGTTAAGATGAAAGATCACTGGGAGGAGGTTATGCACACTTGATGCTAGGCTGATGTCACACAGCATTGTTTCACCCATTAATCTTGCAACAAAGTTCCCCAAATTACATCATAGTTTATTGTGACATGTTTGTAAACTCTCACAAGGAGATGTAGCACAACGACAGTCGGTCGTAAGACTACATCTATGTTACAGTAAGGGAGTTACGATCACCTTAGCACTACAATAGTTTCGTGGAACGGACCCATGAATTCTAAAGGTGGGCCGTTGTATGGAATGAATACATGTCAAATTTTGACGTTTTTGAAGTATTATTCTGTTAAACCCAATTGGATTTTGCTGTGGATCATGTAGATGACTGCCTATTCACACACAATAGTGAGTTTTTTTTAAGAAGTTATAAACGGCAAGTAATAAAAAAAATACTGAGCAAGGTCCCTTCACATACCTGAATATTCACTGACATTAATGTGTAACATAGCAATTACATGTTCTGTGAAAGGCATTGAACCTGCAGCATCACATTTCTTGGCTTACACATGTCTGGTGTGCTTCCTGCAGCATCATTTGAGACCTGAGTGGGTGAGTGAGTGAGTGAGTTTGGTTTTACGCTGCTTTCTGCAATATACCAGCAATATCATGGCACGGGACACCAGAAATGGGTTTCAAACATTGCAGTTGAGACTTGTAGATACAGGTCTGTTTGTTGTTTAATGCTGCACTCCGCAATATTCCAGTTATGTGACCATGGTCTGTAAATAATTGAAAGTGGGCCAGACAATCCAGTGATTGACATCATGAACATTGATCTACACAATTTTCACGGGTTGTAAATACCGGTGACAATATTAGAATGATAATGAAATCCATTCTCACAGTTGATTGAGGTGAGTGAGCTAAGTAAACCTATGATTAATTCAGAATGTGTCGGGCAAACCTGTGCTTGACATGAGCAGTCAGCCAGCGGTTGAGTCACGATGATACTAAATCACCTGGATGCCAATCCATCAGTCAGCTGCTGCAACAAGCATAGGTTACTGAGGACTTGTGTCACCTTGGAATCCCCTTGAGAGGTTTAATTTCATACACTTCATACAACTTTTACAACAATGTACGGGTATTACTTAGTGCATTATATTCTCTTGGCCTTTATATAACAACTAGTGGTGACTTTTTTAACCTGTTTGACTTTTCCAGTGTCATGAGAATGAACTTAGAAATATAGGTAACAAAGACCACTAAGTGAATCAACCAGAAACAGTTTCACCATAGATCTTCGCAGCACATGCTTAACTACAGAAGGCATCCTTACCAATGAATTATTGACTGAGTTTGTGCTGTTGCTAACCTTTGGTATTATGACTTGTGGAAACCTACGGCCGTGGTCAAGCCTATTATGAGGGAGAGCTCATGTTGCAGCATCAAATAAGAAATTTATGTCCTTATCTTAGCTAGGTGTTGCATATAGAGCTTTATATTCAATCAGGTTTTCAAGTCAAACTGTGGGTCAGGGATATCTCCTTTTGAAGTCAGCATCTATGTGAATTGATGGTGGAGGTGAGGCTTTAGCCTTAAACATTTCTGAATAAGGTCACTATATATTGACTGAAGATCGAAGCGATTGCCATGAAGCATGAATGTTTGGTAGAACTATGAATGTGGTTTTATTTCATCAAGTAAAGAAAGAAAGGGGAACACAAGAGATGTGTGGTGGGATAATTAATTTAACAAGACCTAGGTAATCATTTTGCTATTTTTGAGCAATGAAATGCCTGGTTTAAATGTTTAGACAGAATCTATGATGAGAGGGATGACTTCAACTGTCCACTAGGCAACTGTCCCTTTTATGTCCAGTAATATGCAGGCCACTCCAGGTTTTTAAGTCCTCATTTAACAACTTTTGAGGTACAATCAAGGACGCTCTTTCTGTGAAGATTTCAAAGACGCCATATGACTCTTTCTCAAAAGTTGTTTCATCAGGGTTTTAATATTCAAGGCCTCAGTAAAGCTTTCCAAACATTCCATGGCAGACATGGGGAAGACATTTATAGATTTGACGCATCAGTGACCAAAATGATGTCTGATACAATTCCCTACTTTGACCTGGACCATATGTTCCTGTGTTTTATCAGGGGAACAATTGACTTGCCTTTGCATGTGTTTATGACAGGCACCCCCTTCACTATTGATTTGATAGAGTCTTCTAATGATTATGGAACAGGTTTTGACCCTTATATTTACCAACAGAAACATTTCAAGAAAAGATTAGTTGGCATTCGGATGTGTTGGGATCCATACAGAACATTTTGTATTGCTGGAATGGACAGTATGATGGTGGTATTTCCACAGCAATTGTAATCTAACCTTCAAAACGTTCCTGAAAGACTGCTGTATATTTGCTGCCTAACATATTTGCACTTGATATTTGATAGGACACTAATGGGAAGCTCCAATGTAATGCAAAATCACCGCCTCTCAACCTTAATTCATGAAGTCAAACATGATTAAAACTGAAGAAAACACCACAGTCCACAGACTATTAAGCAATTATGGGGAAATGTTCCCAACCATGAGTAGTAAATATGAACCAAATAACCAAAGAAAAATCTAAACACATCTTTGATTATTACTTGTCAATAGGAGATTAAAAGATTCCTGTCAGTGAAATTATTGATTGAAACAATTTCATTCCGTGGAACAACTTCAAGAGCACACATCAAAGTATGTCCATTTTATCAGCAATTAACAGAATCTTTCAGACATGAAGCTTTTTTTGGAAGTAATGTTGACATTATGACAGTTGCTTTGATTTCTGCAGCAATTACAACCAATCACAGCAACAGCATCATCGTATCATACACATTCATCCAGCAAGTACAATACGGCTTCAATGTAATAGGATGCCATGAAAGCCAGCTATCTCTCAGGCTGTAAACTAGGAAACAGGGATATTGCATATTGGACAAGCTCCGACTTTAATAAAACATGCATTTCCTGGGTGTATTTAAACAAATTACTCCACAGATCGCTTCCTGTGTAGATTTTATGTCCTCATCACTGTGCGACTTGTTTATTTTTCATGGAAGTTTAATCTGGAAAATTGCAATTGTTCTTAGCACTACAATTTTCTGTGATGACAGTCAATATTATATAGTCAGATCATTATGATGTATCCCATTTTAAGTGCTGGAAATTGTTTTGTAATATTGTTATCAAGAAACAATGTTTTAAGTGCCCCTGCCTATCTGGTTCAGAGGAATGTGAATTATTGTAACAGGAATGAGAGGAATATTGTTCATTTATCTTTGAGGATAGGATAAATATAAAATTCAAATACAAAGAAATGTTATATATGTTTTTATTTCACCTTAAATGATTTTTGCTATCTTATCTTTGAAGCGGATATTATACCCCACCACGAAGTGGGGCAGGGGTATAGGAACGGAGTTTGTCCGTTCACCTGTCCGTCCGTTTCACAAAGGGGACAAATTTTCTCAAAAACTATATAAGTCAGAGAAATGAATTTTCCACCCTGATATTACTGGCCCTTGCTCCATGCTTTTTAACTTAGTGCATACTGCATGAAATGGGGACAAGTTTCCTCAGAAACAACTGAAGTTATGTGAATGAAAGTTTGAATGCTTATCTAAGAGATACTTGTCAAGACAGAGTTCGAAAATTTGTCCCGTCAATTATTGTTTTACAGAGTTATGGCCCTTGTTCTGTGCTTTCAACTTAGTGCATAGTGTGTGGATCATTGCTCACAATATCTTTCACTGGATTTTAAGTGATCCATTCACATAATTTTCACCACCATTTTGCCCTTTACGCCCAATCATGGAATATGTTTGGGCAGATAATGGAGTCTGGTCATTCTCTGGATTGTCTCTGGAGTGTTGCAGTAAACAAAAATACACTCATAATGTGTAATGGTGTTACAATAGTGCCGAAGCTGACACTGGTAGGTTCTTCTTCTTCTTCTTCTTCTTCTTCTTCTTCTTCTTGTATCCAGCCTTGGAGAGAAATAAATTTCTCAGCGGGGGAATAAATCCCTTTTACCCCACCACGAGCACATGAGGCTGCACATGGATTTCTGTGAGGCAGAATAAATCCCCTATACACAGCTTTGATGCAAAAAGCCGCACACTTTTTCCGAGTCAATGAAAGTCATGTGACATAGCACTGATAGAACTAATGCTGATTGTGGTTGTATTTTGCAGGTGTGACCATGACTACTTGGACATCTACACACAAATAAAGAGTGAACGGGAAACATTGAATCTCCTAGATGCTCAGCTGGCTGGTCGCTTCTGTGGAGATTTACTTGGGAGTTTACAAAACTTAATTGTGTCTACCAAAAATTTCATCGTCCTCTCCTTCTATACAGACGCTACAAAGGAGCATACAGGCTTCACAGGATACTATGAGTTCTTTGATGCTTGTAAGTATGTTAGTTCTTGAACTCAGCGAGGGCTCAGTTTCATTGAATGATGTTTGATTTTCCATTTCTCCAGCTGCTTGCTGACCTAGCTCACAGCATTGAATTAAGTATGTGATAGATCAAGTAAAATCAAGGATGTCTGTTGGGTGGTTTTCATGATCACCGGCAGTGGGGGTGGGGGGGGTGTGTGGAATAGGCACAGGTGGCTCATTCATCTAAGGCGCCACAATTCTTGGACACACCAGAAACCTATGATTGTGGGTTCGAATCCCATGTTCGCCCCAATTATGTTTCTAGGTTTGTCAGCACCATACCTGTGTTCGTGGGGCTTCACCTAAGTGGTAAATGTCTGAGACCTCCATCACTTCGGGCTTTCCTCCCACATTAAGCTGACACGCTGTGATATAACTGGAAAACTGTTAAAAGCAGCGTTATGATCACTGGACAACTAAGGCAGTTTTGCAGGGGTATATGCAGGAAGGACTAACATCAAGAAATAACAGATGTGATTCAATGCAGCAAATACATAACATGGTGTATCACAAATAATATGTTATCAAACAGTTCTGCAAGTTAATTACTCTTCATTCATGATAGTCGCCATTTTGCCTGTGATAAATGTGAAGTCTTTACATTCTTCCATTTTGATGTGATTCCACTCAATCTTAACTTCTTATGATTATGCCATATCAAGGAAAATAGGAATTATCAATTTTCTCTGAACCTTGTAATCAGTGTGTTGTACACTCTGTCAAAATGTTAATTACTGATGAGACCAATGTGGACCTTTATCGTCCATGGCAGGAGTACTGCGGGAGTAGTGCTGTGTGGCATCTGGCAATAAATACTAACTTTTGCAAATTGTGTGAATGGCGGGTTCTCCCGGTAGGGCAACACATACTTATCCTTTTCACAAACACCTGGTGTCATCACTGATTTTCAGTGATCCATTCATTCAATTTTCACAGCTATTTTGCACTTTATGGCAAATGGAATCTGTTTCGGCAGATGATCTACCCTGATTATTCTCTTGCATTGACAATACATGTTTTCTTAAATGATTGTTACATGACTGAAGGGTACATCAATTCGAAAATAGAAAGAAAAAAAGAAGTCTTTGAAAGTAATGAAAGTAGAACTTTGTTTTGTCTGATTCTAGGAAGAATTATGGAAAATAAAACAAGTAATCTAACTCAGAGAAGACATGTGTATAATAATAGTATACCCAATTTTAAAAATATTTCCGAAATGATTAGCAAAAATGCTTATAAGCAAACTTTTGCCATCTCTTTGTTTTGTGTTCTTGAAAGAGTTTGGTGCCTTTATAGATTCCTCCAGAGACTGTTGTTGTTGATAGTTTTGTTCTCATAGGAAAACTGTTTTCAGACTTTTATTGTATGTTCTCAATGAATTGTTCAGTTGAGATTGTTGTGCACCATTTATTTTGCTTTTGTGAAAATATAAAGATTCTTCAGGCCCCTGATTCACTTTGATTGTCAAATCAATAAAATAAGTAGACATACAATGTTTTATGTGGCAAACTTAAGTTTGGACTGCATTAAAAATATTACCAATTCTTTCTTGACCACATTTGTTCTCAAGTATGATTGCATGTTCCCTGGAACTTGTAGAAAGTATAGTCATACCTTGAGAACTCCAAAACTGTTTGGGGGCAGGGGTGGCCCTGTCGTCTAAGGTGCCCCGATTTGTTGTGCAGAGTTGCGTACCTTGGGCGTGCCAGAAACCGATGATTGTGGGTTTGAATCCCGGTTCACCCCGATTATGATTCTAGGTTTGTCAGCTCCATACCTGTGCTCGTGGGTTTCACCAAAGTGGTAAACATCTGAGACCTACATCACTTTGTGCTTTCCTCCCACATTAAGCTGACACACCGTGATATAACTGGAATACTGTTAAAAGCTGCGTTAAACCCAACTCACTCACTCACTCACTCACTCACTCACTCACTCACTCACTCACTCACTCACTCACTCACACAAAACTGTTAGCGTAGTGGGCAAATAGGCTTATTCTGTGGGAAATCATTGCTAGACCCCATTATTTTTATATGTAAGTTATTCTGACTACAGTTCAAGCGAACACTGCAATGATTTAATTTTGTTTTCAAGTTTTGGCATTAAAAATTTGATCCAATATTATATTTGAAATGATTTCAACCATTGACATATTTTGATGAAAAATTGATTAATTATGAGTAAATCTTACATGGATAAGATTTCTTATGGCAAACAGTTTGACAAGATGAATTGGTCTGTAGTCAGAAACATAGTAATCAGCAGAAAAAAGTTGGTGTTTTGCTGAACTATTCAGAATGACATCCATAAATTCTTTTCCTTATTCAGAATGCCTTTTTTGTTCTCATACAAAATTGTGTGACTAAAGTTACAACTACAGTAATTTAACAAAGAGAAGATGATACTGACAAAATGTTATCATTGCTAAGATTAAAAAAAGATTTATTAATGTTCAGTTGCAGTTTGTGTTCATTGTTTCGGGATTGTTGGTCTTTTTGTTCAAAACAAATGGACATTGTTGCCATTACATCTGGACTGCAGACCTATTAAATGATCCTAGACCAGATCATTTACAAACGTTAAAAGAGGTTTTGCTGTTTTGTTTGATTGTAATCTTATTCCAAACCTCTCCTTGTGAGTATCATTTTGTACAAGTTCCTTTGGTGAAATCTTTTTATTCAAACAGCATTTGAAAATTAATCTCTTGAATTCATTTCTTTACGATATTTTTTTCTTTCTTTTAGTACTGAATTTGACACTGACCCATTCAAGTTGTCATTTTGAAAATACATTAAATTAGCCTGAATGTATGTATGGAACTTTCATGATGGAGTGACTTATGTATAATACCTACAGATGGTCTCATGATTTTTAAGGTCAATATGGCTAATGTTCATGTACACGTATAATTTGTTCATGCAGAAGACACTGTGATGTTGGCTTTGGCAGCACTCTTTTTAGTTTTGAGTTTATGGAGTTGACTTCGGGAGTTCAGCCCACATTGAAGAAATAAGATTAATAGTTTCAGTTTACTTTTACGTGATGACCACTTCTTTTGTGATTCATTAGAAGTATTATTAAATTTGACAAAAAGTATACAAAATGAAGTAACTGTTATCTTTTTCATATAATAATTGATAGAATGCATTGTATGTAGTCTATTATTAAGATAAGCCTTCACAGAACGGAATACATCAAAACGTTACCGTCAAAATACTGGACATCCTGCTTTATAAAAAGAAGTAACATTTATTTACTTCACTAAACAGACCAACCCACACAAGTTCTCCCCAATACAATAAAATATTGAGCTACTCAAATTTATTATTATTTTCTTATTTCATCCAACCAAAACTAATTGGTTAGTAAAATCAGTAAACCATAAGATGAAATAGATGTGCTAATGGTGTGATCATTGACTCAAACAACACTACCTTCCCAAGCCAGAATGACGTGAAGTGCTCCTAATAATTGATATGTGTCAGTAGTTTCATAATTCTGGTCATCCATTAATCCCTGTGTTATATTGGAAAAGAGTGTCAGATATTCTTAATGGAATGGTAAGGTTTCCTATTCATGTTCTTGGCTCACCCTGGCTAAAGGTCTAGTGAGTCTGTTGTCCATTGCGTCCATGCTTACCCTTTTCATGAACACTTGGTGTCGTCACTGGTTTTCAATGATATATAAATATAATTTGCTGTGCAATTTTGACTTTTACACCCTGTGGAATCTGTTTCAGAGACAGGTTATTCTCTGGTGTTAACATTTCATATTAGACAGCATCTCATCTGAAACATGGTATACATCTTGCCATGGATGATGTCCTCTTTTTATGGATCCATAATTAAATATGGCCATTGATGGCTGCCACCCCAACATTTGAAAGCCTAGTCATCTCTGTCTGTAGATAGTGAAGGTGGTACAACATATATGTTTTGTTTATTACTTATATTTCATAATTGACGCTTTCCACCTTGACCTTGCTCATTAACAGTGTTATAAATACTGTTGCAGATTAAGTTACAGTGTTGAAGGTTAACTGGTTGGTTGACAGTATCAAAGAGGTGAAGTCTGGCATTTTGTTTTGGTTTAACAATTAATTAATAAGTTAGTATTGATCAGCTAAATGACTAAGGGTAGGTAGGGGCAGTGGGGTAGCCGTGTGGAGAGAGTGTTGGATCAACATGCCAAAACTTGGGTTTGATAACCCAGACTGGTACAATGTTTGAAACCATGCAGAGTGATATGGCTTGGCTAATGCTGAAAGTGAAGTAAAACAAGAATGGCTGGCTCACTGTGATGTAAGGTTGAAGCCAGGAACCAGGGCATGTATGTGGTTCATCTGCACCACTCTGTGTTGTCTTGCTGACTGTAGTGATGTGGTTCTGTCAGCCCGCTGTGAATAGATCCTATTATTCTGCAAGTGTTTTTTATAGCAATTAACACCTTCACTGAATGGCTTAGTTTCCTAAACATCACAACTGTACATGAAAACTTTCAAGTCAACTATGTGAATTTATGAATGTATTATGGAGGCACATGTATCAAGTGAGCTTCAGTACTTTGGTGCTTTCTCCATAATTTGACAACATGACTGACAATTGTACGATTCTCAATTCAACATCTTTCTCAAGCAAAATGTTACAGCAATTCAGAGTTGAGATCCACTTAAGAAAATAATTAATAGTATTTGCAGTGTAAGTATATACATGTAAGTTTATGTATGCTTTTTTCATCTGGCCACAATAATTGAAAATGTCATCCAAAATAACTCTCAAGCCTGTAACTTATAAAATGCAATTTCGAAAGAAATAAAAAGGATACTGAATTGAAATGAAAATATACAGTTAAATGACATTTACAAAAGACACTTTTTATTATTTCCTCCCCCTAACACACTAGTACCTTCACCCACTAACAGAATCTTGACTGTATGGATTGATTTAACAGTTTTCCCCATTCCAGCAGTATATGATATAGGAACAGAGGCGCCACCAGCCATGTGCGGCTACACCATCCGCAGCGAGAACAGGAAGACGGGTTTCATCATGTCCCCTACATTCCCGGGCATGTATGCAGACAACATGTTCTGCTACTACAAGCTGCAGGGCAAGGCCGGGGAGAGGATCAAACTCCACTTCATCGAGTTCTCCCTCTACCATGGAGAGGAATAGTAAGTTCATGGATTCTAGTGCTAGGTTACAGATGGCCTGGGAATATGAGCGACACTTTTTTGTTCTGTACAAGCTCAGGTGATGTGGTACCCGATGCACAAACTATGTGCAATTACTCTGACTGGATGTATCTCCTGGGAAGGCTCTTTGAGAGACTCGCGTTACGCTTTACTGTTTTCAGTGATACTTCAGGGAATAACAATTTGAACTACAATGTTTTTTGCCTTGCGTTTGGAATCAATTGGGTATCAGATTCACCCATTTGATAAGCGTCTTGAGAGACTTAACTACATTTGAATTTGAAATTAATTCAGGGTAAATGCACTATATCTTTAGTTTGTTTCTTATGAAGCAACACTGTGACATTTAATTTTTAAATTTTAAGTCTTGAAAGGACAATCTATCTGATTCAAAAGTTGATAAAGTTTGATTTTACTTCCCAAGAGACAAGAGTGAGTGTTGATGAAAGGGTGCACAGTGCACCAAATATTTTATGAGAGCTTCAAGCAGTAGTGTTATCTTTTGTGCTTTGTTCTTAGTGTGAATGTGTTTAAACAAAATAGTTTAAGGGGTTTAAATATATTCATAGAATTTGTATATTTGCATATATATCTATATATGTATTTGTGTTTCTGTTAGATCATGTATGAAGATGGACATTTTGTGTTCCAGCTGTCCATACGATTACGTGAAAATCTATGATGGCTATACAAATGATGCCCCTGTGATTGGCACGTTCTGCGGCAACTATGACAATAGCACAATCCTTTACTCTTCTGGAGAAGCACTGCACATAGAGTTTCTTACAAGTCAAGGGAGAGTGTTATTTGACAAGCAGCCTCTTGAAAACAGTGGTGATTTAACAGTGCCAAGAAAAGGATTTAACATAACATATAACTTCAGTGATCAGATTGTCAAGTTAGGTAAGTATGCCAATGTATAACCAAGTATAAACGTGTGCCTTGATGCATGGAAAGGCACATCAGTTGCACAGTCAATCTGTAGTAGATAAACTTGATTTTACACTGAAATATGGGAATTCCTGGAGGGGATTCCGGGTTAGAATAGGTCCCCAGAAACATATACTGGCAATTAAGTGGATCAGGTGGTCATTGGTTGATTGTGTCACTGAACCCTGACGTTTGTGGATTGATGCTCACAATGTCAATCACTGGATTGTCTGGTCTAGTCTTGATTATTAACATGCTGCCATCAACTTGCTGGAATACTGCTGAGTTGGGTGTTAAACAACAAACATATAATGTTGTAGAAGTGGTTGAAGTTAACATCACTCCAAAGGCCAAGGTTGAATTTCTAGGATTGGTACAATGTGTGAAGCCCTGCTGTGATGTTACTGAAATATTGCTAGAAGCAGCATAAAACATTCACTCACTCACTCACTCACTCACTCACTCACTCACTCATAGTGAAATGGATAAGACCGTGGATAAAGTCTTTGCATGTTTTTTCTAACTACTTTCTTATGCATTACTACTAAGTATGATAATTTCTATATTTGACACATTGTAGAAGAAACAAATGTTCTATTTCAGACTTTATCCTACCTGATGCAGAACACTTAATAGGAACAGGTAGGTGGCAGTGTGTTAAGTGTGCAAAGAACTTATATTTCATGAATTATGACACAAGTTACTAGACAACAAATTTAGATTATTTCCTCTTTGGAAATATTGATATCATGTTAGTGGAAAGAACGAGAAGTTAATAGAAAGATCGAGAGGTTTGTAGCTAAACATCAAGTATTAATCTGTTTCACATCAGAAATAGTACTAAAATCACAATTTTGTGTGACCTATTGAACTCAAAGTCGCTAAGCTAAAAGCAATTGGTTCTGAAAGCAGACATGAGATATACCTTTCATTAATAATGTGTTGGTGACATTCAGAAGATAATGACAAAATTGATAAAAATAGAATTTTGGTGAGCATGTCTTCTTTTAGAAACACTGTAGCATATTAAAGTATAGGTACAGCTAGTCTCTCCCGCCCCAAAACAAAAATATGCAAGTCTAGATTTCTTCAGTTTCAGAATGTGAAAAGTTCTCTTGGCTCCTTTCTGTTATATATTTTTAAACAATTTGAAAAAACAACAACTTTCAGTCTTTTCATTTCGGTGACTATATGTTAGTCTAAGGCGCCCCTGCTGTTGCCATGACTACATTCAGATGTCTTGTTTTTATATCATTGCAGAATGTGACCAACGAATAATGAGTAAGCAAGAGACCAATGGCACAATAAAGTCCCCCAATTATCCGGCCTCCTTCCCTCAAAACATCACCTGTCGGTACTACCTGGATGGCCTTATGGACAGACAGCATCTGGAGAAAGCTAGGATATTATTCTTCGACTTCGACATACCAGGGAATATGCCTTAGTAAGTTGTGGACATGCAGGTTCGTTGTTAATAGGTCACCAGTACCCCAAGCTTATCACAAGATTCAACCAATGATTGTTGGGTGGTCACAATGTGCAAGCTGACTGACTGTGTGTCATGTAACGCCAATAGATGTGTGGGATATATATGGATTATTGCTGGTGTTGTCTGGTGTGGTGTGGATGGTACAGACTATAGACTGGAGGGATCTATCTGGATTATTGCTGGTGTTGTAAGTCTGGTCTGCATGTTACAGATTGTAGACTGAAGGGATATATCTGGATTATTGCTGGTGTTGTCTGGTGTGGTCTGCATGGTATAGACTATAGACTGGCAGAATATATCTGGATTATTGCTGGTGTTGTCTGGTCTGGTCTGCATGGTACAGACTGTAGACTGGAAGGATATATCTGGATTATTGCTGGTGTTGTCTGGTCTGCATGGTGCAGACTATAGACTGGAAGGATATATCTGGATTATTGCTGGTGTTGTCTGGTTTGCATAGTACAGACTATAGACTGGAAGGATATATCTGGATTATTGCTGGTGTTGTCTGGTCTGCATGGTGCAGACTATAGACTGGAAGGATATATCTGGATTATTGCTGGTGTTGTCTAGTCTGCATGGTGCAGACTATAGACTGGAAGGATATATCTGGATTATTGCTGGTGTTGTCTGGTCTGCATGGTGCAGACTATAGACTGGAAGGATATATCTGGATTGTTGCTGGTGTTGTCTGGTGTGGTCTGCATGGTACAGACTGTAGACTGGAGGGATATATCTGGATTATTGCTCCTATTGTCAAATCTGGTCTGCACAGTGCAGACTTAAGACTGGAGGGATATATCTTGACGATTATGACTGCAAATCAACATTCATTCACTCACTCCATACACATGCACAATGTAATTCTTATGACAATACATTGGACCATATGTAAATAATGTTTCAGTTGTGCACTCGGATACGTTGGTCTGAATGAGGATAGTCGCCTGAAGGATGGAACCGTGAAGGAGAAATTCTGCGGGACACTGCGACCCCCACCTCTGACGAGTCAAGGTCCCCGTCTAGTCCTGACCCTGGACACTCGAGGGGCTGTCCAAGGCGGGCGCTTCATGTCCAAGTACAAGTTTATTACAGGTAGGCAATATAGTGTAGGAGACACCTACTGACAAGACTTTCTTTCTGCAAATCCATTGACATGTTTATCCATGTGAGTCCAGGTACCTGTTGGAATGATTGAACATGTTTGGAATATGGTTGTTTGAATGGTAGAGCTAAGGGCCAGATTTGGTCAGTATCTTTGTTTAAGATATTTGATACTTAACATAAGAGGATTGAATAAGATGGAATCAGGTTTGTACTAGTTTTTTCATGACAGAAGTATTAGCTCAGCTGAACAATTTATTGAAGATTTGTATTGTACCAAATAGAAATAAGTAAATATAAAAACTTGGAAATGTGATGTTGCATGTTCAATGCCTACATGACATGCTTCTTGGCAAATGCCATACGGTCAACTCTTGTTGTGTTGCAATTCAAGGATCAATTCAATTGTATATATACTCATCCACATGTACTTCCTGCTCAGTATTCCAACTTTCCTATCACGAACAACATGTCAGTGATCAAATAGATGACTGTTATGAATACCTTTTGCATGCTGAAAAACATGAGCTGAATTTCACATCTCTTTATTCAATCATATTTCAGTTAAATTCTAGTTCACAATTTGTGTGTTCGGTTGATCAGGTCGATCCAGTGAGAAGTGATCTAGTTAAACCATCATTCTGTCTCCATGGTGTGATTCAGGGACAGTTAGTGTATTTATAGTATTCTTGAATGATTCAAGATTATATCAGCACCAAACAACAGTATGTAGTTTTCTGTATTTCTGTTATGGAGATCAAGTGGACTAAACAAGGGTTGACTGTAGACTTCTCTACTTTCAGTGTAATTAACAATTAGTTGTCATCTTCAGAATAATTTCTTCTTTTTATTCCAGATTATTCAATCCCAGGGACCCAGATCTCAGAGGGTCAGTCTACACTCTGGTCCAATCTGTTAATTCTGCAGCTATAAATAACAAATACAAACCTTTCATCTTTTACTCAATCCTCTAGTGTTATGTATTTGCTACCAGGAATTCAAAATGGAGGCACACATTCCCCTCCTTATCCACCTGTAGTAAAAACACAGTAGAAAATTTGACGAAGTCTGTCTCTAATCACCACATGAACTATTTCAAACATGTTCAATCATTCAGAATAGATACCTTATTGCCATGGATAAAACATAGTAAGTACACAATTAATTTGCTCACCTTTAAAACTCACCTTTAAAACTAACACGACACATTTTCATCCAGTGTAAAAACTGACTTCTCAAAGTAGTTGTCATCTTCAGAATAATTTCTTCTGTTTATTCCAGATTATGCAATCCCAGGGACTCCCATCTCAGAAGGCCAGTGCAAGTTCTTGTATGATGACACCAGTGGCCAGTCTGGGACATTCAATACACCGCGTCACCCTGGCAACTACCCGACCGATCTCACCTGTGAATACATCTTCCGCCCTGGCCATGACGTCTTCGTTCTTATATCATTCGATACATTTGATCTAGATGCAAGACAACCGAACCAGCTGGGGTGTGTGCACCAACTAATCCTGTCCCTTTGTCATCTTGTTCACCTGACTGAAAGTCACGTGACCGAATGTCATGACCTGTTTGTTTGTCATCTGAACCAGTGAAGCTTATACTTGACATACTTGTTTGCACCAGTCATGACGTCCCCAATTCATTCAAAGGTTCAAATCTGATTTTCAATATGGCTGCCGTGGAGGCAGACTTTTTGTAAAACCTATTTATGAGCGCCAATTTTGTATGAAGTGCAATGAAATTTGGACTTTGTTTAGTTGTTGTGGGATTCAATACACAAGTTCTGTTTACTTACAACATGGACCATGCTCACAAAATACATATTTTGCTCTGAAAATTTCTTCTCCTGAAATTGCAAGACTCAGGGAGTTGAACTTGGCATACATGTTTCTCATGATGATGACATCATATTTTGTTCAAATCATTAAAGTTTATTGTTAGTCCTCAGACTGCTGACTACATATCCAAGTGAGCTACAGTGCCATTGTACTATTTTTTATATGTTTTAATTACTTGGTTTACCAATTATTTTCCAAAACAGTCAGGTCTGGGTTATTTTAGTCATCTCATAAAAATAATTATCTTGCAAGTGAAATAAAAACATGACTAAAAGTATCTCTCCGATCTGTTTTCTTAAGTGATTTCATGGATAAAATTGTCTTTCAAGAGAAATAAATGCTTCAAATGTAAAAATATTTTAAATATTGGCTGGTAACTTCAAACAATTGAAAACAAATTTTAAGATTTACCAGATTTGTGAAGTAATGAAAATCTTATTTTGGGATGATAGGGTGAAAGTGTTCTTTGATAGGGTGAAAGTGTTCTTTGATAGGGTGAAAGTGATCTTTGATAGGGTGAAAGTGTTCTTTGATAGGGTGAAAGTGTTCTTTGATCGGGTGAAAGTGTTCTTTGATAGGGTGAAAGTGTACTTTGATAGGGTGAAAGTGTACTTTGATAGGGTGAAAGTGTACTTTGATAGGGTGAAAGTGATCTTTGATAGGGTGAAAGTGTTCTTTGATAGGGTGAAAGTGATCTTTGATCGGGTGAAAGTGTTCTTTGATAGGGTGAAAGTGTTCTTTGATCGGGTGAAAGTATTCCTTGATAGGGTGAAAGTGTTCTTTGATAGGGTGAAAGTGTACTTTGATAGGGTGAAAGTGTACTTTGATAGGGTGAAAGTGATCCTGGCAGCTAAGGTATGCATCTCTGTATATTAAGTTCTGTCACCTTGGTACAGTGGTCCCCTAGCTCTTGACCCTTTGGCAATAATCAAGTGATGTGATAAGGATACTGGCACTTGAAAGCTTTTAAGTTTACCCAAATACAGTAGCATCTCTTTAAGCCACAAACTTCATTTCCTCTTGATGAGATGAGGATACTGGCAAATTGAAGTTTACCCCAATACAGTAGCATCTCTTTAAGCCACAAACTTCATTTCCTCTTGATGAGATGAGGATACTGGCAAATTGAAGTTTACCCCAATACAGTAGCATCTCTTTAAGCCACAAACTTCATTTCCTCCTGATGAGATGAGGATACTGGAAAAAATTGAAGTTTACCCCAATACTATAGCATCACTTGAAGCCACAGACTGAAGGTCCTGCTTTCATACATTACAGGTGCCTGGGAAGAGACTACCTGGAGATTTATGAAGAGGGATATACCAAAAATAACTTCTCCCTTGTGGAGAGGCATTGTGGCACAATAGCTCCTGGCCCTTTTACGTCGTCAAGGGTGGTGAAGATTGTCTTCCATTCCAACAAATCCATTACCAAGATGGGCTTCAAGGCCAGATACTACTTCCAAACAAAGGAGGAGATATATGGAAGTAGGTTCATACACTGAACTGAATGTCAGATGAATGAATCGTTAAATCTGCAGTAAACTATGGTTATATCAAACTCAAATTGACCACTAATTTTAGTTTGTTAAACCGTAATTCGTTATAAGCATATATACAACATCAATACAGCAAATGGCTTGGACCAAAATTTAAGTTTGTAATATCCGTCAGTCCGTTATAAGTGAGTTAGTTATAAACTTATTTCACTGTACTACTCAAAAACTTGATTCTTTCATGTGACTATAGTTCATCTGTCATGCCATCCTGACCGATGAACTGAAGTAACATGAAATAATCAGGTGATCCTTGTTTTACTTTGAGTAATATACTTTCTGTTAAGGTGTACTTTGGACTTTCAAGTCTTTAACTTTCAATGCTCGTCAGCAATATCAACTTCAGACAATACTAATAACCTTGACCCTTGGACTCGGGGATTGCATCAATTGTTATTTGCTTCTGGGAAGAGAATTTTGCAGTGGTCAGCAGATAAGTGTATGAACTTTATGTGTATGGCTAATATTAGGTACTGTAGGATGTTTAATGTTCTGTTGGGCTAGCAAACAGATGTAGGAACGAACCAGCCAAACAATTCACTTGGTTTGAGGTGAATGTTGTTTTGTGCTGCAGTCATAGTGAGGTCATGATAAAACACTCACACACACACACACACACACACACACTCACACAACACACCCATACACACACACGCACTCACACACACACGCACTCACACACACACAATCACACAACACACTCACACAACACACCCATACACACACAACACAACACACACGCACTCACACACACACACCACATACACAACACAATACACACAACACAATACACACACATGCAACACACACACACAACACACCACATAAACAACATACACATGCAACATACACATGCAACACACACACAACACACACATAAACAACATACACATGAAACACACACATTACACATAACCACATACACACACATTCAACACTCACATAACACACACATACAACACACTCACACACACAACACACACGCACTCACACACACACACCACAATACACAACACACACATGCAACACACACACACAACACACCACATAAACAACATACACATGCAACACACACACAACACACACAAACAACATACACATGCAACACACACACCACATACACAATACACACACACAACACACCACATAAACAACATACACATGCAACACACACATAAACAACATACACATGCAACACACACATAAACAACATACACATGCAACACACACACATAAACAACATACACATGAAACACACACATTACACATAACCACATACACACACATTCAACACTCACATAACACACACATACAACACACTCACACACACAACACACATGCACTCACACACAACACACACGCACTCACACACACACACCACAATACACACACACACACACACAACACACCACATAAACAACATACACATGCAACACACACATAAACAACATACACATGCAACACACACATAAACAACATACACATGCAACACACACACATAAACAACATACACATGAAACACACACATTACACATAACCACATACACACACATTCAACACTCACATAACACACACATACAACACACTCACACACACAACACAATACACACACAACACACACACACAACACACCACATAAACAACATACACATGCAACACACACACAACACACACAAACAACATACACATGCAACACACACACACACACCACATACACAATACACACACACAACACACACATGCAACACACACACAAAACACCACATAAACAACATACACATGCAACACACACACAACACACACATAAACAACATACACATGCAACACACACACAACACACACATAAACAACATACACATGAAACACACACATTACACATAACCACATTCAACACTCACATAACACACACATACAACACACACACACACATACAACACACACACACATTAAGGCTTCTATTGGTGCCTGCTGTTTTCTGTTACCTATCAATTGTCCTGTTTCAGAATGTGGAAAGCATGTAACACACACACACACACACATTAAGGCTTCTATTGGTGCCTGCTGATTTCTGTTACCTATCACTTGTCCTGTTTCAGAATGTGGAAAGCATGTAACACACACAAACACACACACACACACACATTAAGGCTTCTATTGGTGCCTGCTGATTTCTGTTACCTATCACTTGTCCTGTTTCAGAATGTGGAAAGCATGTAATAAACAGTCAGGGATCAGGAGGAATAATAAAAAGTCCTGACTATCCTCGAAAATACAAGGCAAAGACGTTTTGTCAGTGGACGATTAGAGCCAGTAAACCCACAAATAAAATACTCATAGAAACAGCTACCTTTGTGTTAGAAGGAAAGATGGACCGTAAGTATACCTGAATTGTCCTCTCTTTATGAACACATCAATCATACTGGAAATGCAATTTTTGCCCACTCGTCAAACATGTTTACATGTATCATTAGGATATTTGATATTTTGTATGCAGTACAAAATGGTTTTTGTGTACAAGTATTTGAATTTTCCTATCCTGCTCTCCCCTTTTGATCTTCATGTACCCCCATTTGTCCAGTTTAACTAGATTTTCAACATCTTCTCTGAATCCTCTGAATTTTTGTACCTGTCAAATGGGGTTGAATAGGTCTTCAGCAACGCATTCTTGCTGTAAAAGGTGACTATGCTTGTGGAAAGAGGCAACTTACAGGATTGGGTGGTCAGGCTCGCTGACTTGGTTGATGCATGTCATCATATCCCAATTGCGTGGAACGATGCTCATGATGTCAAACACTGGATTGTCTGGTCCAGACTTGATTATTTACCGACCGCAGTCATATAGCTGGAATATTGCTGAGTGCAGCATTAAACAACAAACCAAAACCTGTCAAATAGTGTATATTATCCCCGCATATTGCTAAAAGCTGCATAAAACCATACTTTCTCACTCACTCATCTACTTCAACAAGTTGTGCTCAAATAGAAAATCGATCCTTGTGGAAGGAAGCTCCTTCATAACAAATGCAGAAGATTAACCCTTTATGTTTCAGAAACGGGCTGCCAAAATTCTGTGATGAGAATATACAGTGATATCAACTCTGTGCAGCCTGCCGAGGTGCTGTGTGGCCAGATGGGCACTAATATAGCTTTCCTCTCTTCGGGGGACACTTTTAGAATAACGTAAGCGATCAAGCTTTTACTTGACATTTGATAATAGAATTAATGTATAACCAGGATTGTGTAGGTATCGAGGAAGACCAGACTCCGGCTGTGGGTGTGAGTCTTTATTTCTCTGTCTTATAACTGGACACCCTTAAACTCAAGTATAGGCACTTAATGTGGCAGGTACATATGGTATATACATATGGGTTTTCAATGCATATCAGTAGATCCTGGCACAGCTAAGGGATACAACTCAAGAGTGAATTGCAGGGTCACTATTGAGTTATGTCCCTTAGCTATGCCAGGATCAACTGATATGCGTTGAAAACCCAGAAGTGATTATGATCCTTGGTTTGTCATCACAATACCCATGTCTAGTTGTATTGGTTTACTGTATGTACCATGTTGGGCTTGTCAGCACATTGAGCTACGATATGACTGAATACTGTTCAAAGTAGTGTTAAACTCAGTTACTGGCATTTTACAGCATCTTTTCTGTGTGTTATTTCATTCAGTTTGATTTGCTTAGAAGCACTGCACAAAGTATGACTACATATTGTTGTTTATCACCCATAGGGTTAGAAATAACACTTCACGCACACCAGTGTATTGTTTCGGAATGTTGGAATGACTTCACACTGGAAATGATGTCGTAGGTGAAGATTGTTGATGTCATCTGATAATTGTGGTTTTCTAAGCAACGGCCATGATCAGGGCTTTACTCTAAAGAGGAGTTCAAAAGAAGGAAGAAATAATAGACAATAATGAAATTACACTCATGTGTGTTACACTGATTTTATGAAACTTGTGTAAAACTTCATGCATTACCCTTGCTCTTGCTCGGGAAATATAAGAATTGTGACACTTTTCATAAAATCAGTACGACACACTTGCTGTATAATACTTTCTCATTCTGATACCTATACATGTATTTGATTGACAAAAAGTTCACCTGGACTTAATCTGTTCCAGATTTGTGACATCACTTCGGTCACTTGGTGGTAAAGGATTCAAGTTATCATGGACAGAAGTCAATGAAGATGGTAGGTGTTGACATAATATTTTTGTGAAACAATTGTTTCCTGCTGAGAATTAGTTCAGTTGTGAGTTGAAGTGTCATTTCCCAAGTCAGTTGATAGAAGATGTAACTCTGTAGACTGCTATGCAGTTTTTATTGTAATGGGCATCAGCAGAACTTTGGGCATTTGGGCCCAGCAACTAGATCTGCTTGAACTACAGATGTAAAGATACAAAAGTATACATTTATCAGTATTTTGAAACATTATTTTGATAATTTAGGCTTTTGTTGAGTAGAGATATTCTTGCAATCAGGTTTTCCGTCCATTATGGTGAAGGGTTCATTGAAACATACATAACACATATATAGATAATAAATATATGTACAAGGAATATGATGATGTCACAATCGGTGCTGTACAAATATTTGTGATGATGGAAGCTTCTGAAAACAAATTAGTGTCTGAATATGCCAAGATGTCGAAGCTTTTTCTTGGTACTAAAAATGACAAAATAAGATGAGTCATGTAATGGAGGGTCCAGTAAATGAGCTCTGTTGTCGGAAACAACAAAAGCCAACTTTTACACATAAACATGACCTTACGCATGTTAGACAAGACATATATACCCAATCACTACACGCTTCCTCAAACTAAATCACAACTCCTTTTGATGCCCTTGTATGTGAAAAGTGATGCCAGATCCACAAGGATATGTATGATATTGTCAACTTTCTATGTTCAGATGTGAATCTTTAATATATTCTGTTTCAGATACCTGCTTTGGTTTTAAGTGTGCTAAAAACAACTATTGCATATCGTCTGAATTAAAGTGCAATGAATTACCCAACTGTGGCCGAGGTGATGAGTCGGACGAGACAGCCGAATGTAAGTTGGACAGAGTTGTCTCCCTTCGACCATGAACTGAGTATCTCATTGCAACCAAGTTGTGGGAGAGTACATTATGTGAGAAATGATTTTGGAGCAGAGTAGCTGTAGCCATCATAGTAGAGACACGTGATAGTTGGTTTGTTATCCACACATAGACTTATTTTGATTCTTAGGTGCTATTTGTACAAACTTAGAAAGGATTGAACAGTTAGTATAATGTATGCTGCTGACCTCCTGTTGTAGATACATCAGTGCACATGGAAATGTGCACGCAGGGATCTGATCAGTTTGACGCATTTGCGCGATCCATTCTGGATGTATGCCAATGGATGCATTCATGACTAACTAGACACACAGTGCACTGTATGTTAGAGTGACATTTGCACATGTATTAATACTGTATAATGTGCTCTGGGTGCTTCGGTAAGCTGCAAAGGTAATAAGGTGTGCAATGATCTTAACATAGGAGGTCACATTTGACAGTAACTATACCACCATTGGATCATTTTTGTACACCAAGACTGAAGATTTCAGAAACAAAACCTTAAAATTCACTGTGTATTCAAGTACAGGTATAAGTGTTCAGACAAAATGCAGAGACCAATGCAATATACCACTCTTTGTTATTTTGATATAAAGGTATGTCATCTTTAGAAGTATAGATTTCTTTTTGCCCAATTTGACTCTGAAGAAAATAAAATAAGAAATGCTACAATATTGAGGCAATATTGACACCAGAAAACAATCAGTCTCTTTCATCTACTGAAAAAGATTCCAATATCTGTTATGAAAAACTTGTGATGAAAGAACCATATGAATGGATCAGTATAAAACAGTGACTATGTTGCTACTCTGCTTGGCATATAAACAATGTTATAGCCTGTTCATACTGAAACATACACCTGGACTAGCAGACAGGATTTATGGGTTTTGTTTTGGAATGTCACGTTTTCGTGACTGTGAATTAAACCCTTTCACTTCGGCTGTTTTCATTTATTGGAGAAGACCCTTGTTTAAGACAACTGTAATTTGATCTTTGTCCTAAGTTGTCCTGTTAAGACAGTTACAATTGCATATATGTTATGTTGTTTTGTGACACAAGATCTTTTTATGTTTTGTAATTGAAAGTAGGGAATCATCTTTGAGCAGCATCTGCTTCACCACTGCTAGTGTGTGTTCCTGTACATATAGGGAGCACTGCTGTGTTGCACAGGGTACATTGGATGCTCACCTTGTCTTCTTTGTTTCAGCTGGTTATGCAAATTGTGTTGTTCAGCTCAGAATATTCAGTTTTTGTTTAATTTGGGGATGAAAATAGAAGTGCACAATCAGAAAATGGTGGCAAACATTTCACTTCATAATACATAATTTAACTTATCAAACAGTGGGTGCTGATACTGAACAGCTGATTTATCAGTTGTCCTGTCAGTACTTCTATTGACTGTGACTGTGTCACTCACCTTTGTGTTAAAGTAGGTTGGAAAGTAGCCATTAAATATTTTACTACAGGACAATTGTAAAGTAATTGTTATATCAACTGAAATAACTGAATATTGTTAGTAATTATCTTGACATGGTTTAATGCATATTTGGGTAATAAAGTCTCACCTCTCGTTTCCGTCCAATTCAGACTGCAGTACGTCTGTGATGAGGAGTGAAAACAAGTCTAAAAATATTAATAGTCTTGGTTCTCAGGCACCGCCCGCATCATCATAAAGTGTGCCACACATTTTATTTTTATTTCCATTTTTAAAAAAATAAAAAAATCCTTAAATATTCCAAGTCCAACTGTATTTCAGTATTTTACATTCATGTAGGGAAACCCTTTCCCACAACTGTTTATTTTGTTACACATCTGTTTATTTGGTTACATACGAGTTTGAACAACCAAAAATAAATTTAAAAAACACCATCCGCCCACACTATATTTTCAAAAGCCTTTGCTGGAGAAAAATGTACTTTATTATTTTAAGCCTAACCAGACATGTTTAGTAAAGTGTTAAAAGAACAGAAAAATGGTAGGCATAAATCAGTTTAAAATTTTGAATTGTTTAATTTAAAAAAACAAAATTTAATGAAAAATCTTTATAGTTCCTAAAGGGTTCATCTTCAGCCACAATACACACTGGTAGATTGAAGGTCTTCAAAGAGGGATGTTTTGAGAGATGTTCTCAAAGAAAATCTGAATATGATAAACATAACAGCAACTTCACATATCATTTAAGGAAATTGAAACTGAGTGACAAGATAGTCTGATTGTGACACAGCATCAACACTGGTAGAGGTTCAAGAACTAACAGGATACTTTCATATGCAATTATTGAAACTGATGGGCACTTGTATTTTCCTATCCAATTTGTATTATTTTATTTTCCTTTCTTCCATGGATATAGGCGGAGCACCATCAATGTTGAGTTTCCACGCCGTCATTGTGTTCAGTGTGACTTGTCACTCCTTTTTTCTCACACATTTTATTTTACATTGAGGTAGGTGGAATGGGCATACTGTTTCCTGCTGTAGTGCTGACTGGCATACTTGCATCAGGAGCCAACAGGGCAGCTGCAGTTGTATTGTCACACCAACACCATATCTGGACTTTCAAAAACAACACTAAAACAGTGACGACAATTTAGGGAGATTAGTTAATGGTATTATTGGTCATGCACGAGTGATTTTATTCCTAGTAAGGTTGTTTTGGAATGTTTGAAAATTTCAACTTGTGTAAACAATAGGTCATAATTGCAAGTAAATTTAATGTCTTGACAAAATGAATTTGTGAGATTGATTGATCGTTCTTAATCGTTATTGTCATCTGGATGTGAATCACATTTTGTCTGAGTAATTGGTCTCTTTTAAGATAATCTTGTGGACAAAAGCTTTACGTAGAAATATATGATAAATATGGGTAATTTGATGTGATAAAGAGGATGTTGGATGCATGAACCACTTGTTTAGATGAGAGATTATGATAACATTGTTCTTCAAACTTAGAATAGATTACATTCGTGACTCAGAGTTGGCAATGAAGAGGTCCTTTAGAACAGACACAATGTATGTGTGTCCTTCTCTTCCAGAGGTATAGATATAGTGTCTAATCCTCATTCCATGAATACTTCCATCCTGTCTTCAATAAATAAAACTTGAGGTATTATTCAACCACTTAATTACTGACAATTTGAACAAATAACAGTTATTACTAATAGATATTTTCAAACTCGCTGTTACCTCAACATATTTTCTATATATGCAATAATCACATTTTTGATATGCAGCGCAAGTTTGTGCAATGCAATATGTGCACGATGGTATCATCAATTTGACATGCAGTGAATTCTTTATGCAATACAAAAATGTGCACGATGGTATCATCAATTTGACATGCAGTGAATTCTTTATGCAATACAAAAATGTGCACGATGGTATTTTCAGTTTGACATGTAATCCAGACACAAGGCAATACAAAAACATGCTGCAAGTTGGGTGGACGTAACTATGCCAGTCGGCGCTGTGGCTGGGGGAAACAGGAATGTGCTTCAGCGTTAGCGTGTATACGTCATGTGCATGCCAATCCACCAATGCATTTTGTTTTCCATTAATCAGGCACGGTATATATATTGAACCATGAAGGGTCCCATGGTATGTAACCTTATCTCTATCTGCCCTGCTCTCCCTCCTGTTCAACTCCTCAACACTCAACTTTCTGAAGAAAAAACAATGCATCATTTTGACAATTGTTGAAAAATATACTTCAAATACTAATACATAGGCATTGTGCAGGTTTTACCTCATTCTTGAATATTTTATACATGGGAAGAATGGAAGGTTAAGTTAGGTGTTTGTTGGTATTATATTTGTTTTTCTACATCTAGCAGAGAAATTCCTATGATACTTTGAACATGAATGTAATGACACAATGAAAGTAACCTGTGATGTGATGTTAGGCGGTAAACAAAGAACATGTTAGAAAAACAAGTATTTCTCTGTAACGAACCTAAGAACAACCGTCTGATAATGTTCATTGATCACAGGATACAATGAGTTTGTTAGGGGAATCTATGTGACCATCTGACACCATGACAGTCTGTGATGTTTTTTCACTTGTGTACTTGATATACAGGAAAAACAGCAGACTGATATCTAGTATATATTCACAATATTATGTTTTGTGGGCATTCAGGGCTTAAATAGGTCCCTATGATCCCATGCTTAATCTCAAGAGCAAACATCACAATAAGGGTCAAGTGGTCACAATTTATAGCCAAGATGATTGTGTCATTTTACCTCATTGGATAGTCTTTCTTACCTAGAACTTAGTATTTACAGACCATCATGACATAGTTAAACTATTGCTGACTTCAGCGTAATACATAGTAATTACACTGCATCAGTCAGGCAAACAATTCTACTCATTAGGAAGGGCAGAAGAGATTATCTTCAGCCCAAGAGTCACTCAATTCAATACACCCTTTGACATTTGTTGTCCCAGATCATAACTTCAATTACTAATGGTATCTGTGGATGTTGTGAAGCAAATAGCAGCCAAACTAAAGTTTCTGTTCCATTATTAAGTCATGCATCAGCTAGGTAGAGCTGTATTTCAACAATTGTCAGCACACTGGTAGATTGTTCCCTCAATGACAGCTGGAGACACCGCCAGCAGTATACTACCATGGTGTTTGCCCCACTTCCTTGGGCTTCCGAGTTGTGTCATGGTTGTTGCATGCTGAAATAACATGTGTTCAGTCAACATGGTTAACATGTTCATTGTTGTTTTAAATTATATTGAAACCTCATCAGTAACAGAAAATACCCAACTGCTTTTGAATATTATTGGATTCAAAGGTTGTCCTACAGTTGAAGTAGCTTCAATGTCACCGATACATGAACTTGTAGTCTGAATGTAGACAAGTGACTGGTCCTTCAATGTCACCGATACATTAACTTGTAGTCTGAATGTGGGCAAGTGACTGGTCCTGATTTCATATAGCCACAAGTACTTCAAGCATATATATGCCCTGTATATTCACAAGTTGCCCCCAAGGCAGAAGGACTCCAAAAAGATAAAACAGAATTATGATCAGATAGCCACCATAGGCAAAGTCCAATACTGAACCATCATCTGACTGATTGTGATTCCAACTTGAAACCCTACTACATGAGGATTGTTGCTCAAGCTCTGGACATGGTTTGCCTGGTCCAGCCTTGATTTCAAACTGGTTGCTTTGATATGGCTGTATAAGTGATATGGCTGACTGCACCATTAAATATTCACAATCTCACAAGCTTAACTATTTCATGTCATATACACTTCTGTTATATTATATACGTTCTAAGTACATTCACTGAGAAATATGAGGATTGTTTAAACAAGTTTGACATCATTATGAAGATGATCATAGTGCTGCATGTGTAGTTTAGGGGATGTCAACAGTCTGCAGGAATGTAAACCTAACTGCCTTTGCTTCTTATGATAACCATGATTGTGAATGAACCATGACACATGTGCCAACAAGTCACTACTTGATTCTTAATAGTGACACACACATAAATTTAGAGGATTAAATAATTGGTTATGATACCTGTGAGGACATAGGTTAGAATATATCTTAGCACCCTATTACTGGTTATGAAAGGAGACTTACCTGGAATTGATGGCTCTCGGGCTGTGACTGGTTATGTGTCATAGTACCCTGGTGGCATGGACCCTATGCTCATGTTGACGGGTCCAGACTTCATTATTTACAGGCTGCCTTGATGTAGCTTGAATATTGCTGACTATGGCATTCACTAGGTGGTTATGATCTAAATTCTAAGTTTTCTGCTCAGAATGTCCAAGTGTCGTAATCAAATTGGCATGAAGTTTTCCACAAAATAAAATACCTTGTCACTGAATAGTAGTGCTGGTACATGGCAGGTTGGTACATATGTCATGGAAGATATGCAGTATGTTCTAATGCATGGCTTTGTTTTCAGCAAGACCCAAATTCCATTGACAGATTTCACATCCTATTTTCAGATGATCATTCTTACAGGTTTTACATTTTTGGTCCGTAGGCTTTACTTGGACCATTTAGGATAAAATGTTTTACCTTTATTGCACACAAATAACTTTGTACATATTCTATACTTCTTTTATTTATCGAAAATCAGTATATACAAACCAGTTAAAAAGTTTATATTATTTTATGGTAACATGATAAAATAAAGACCAATTCAGTCATTGCACATGCATAATCTTGATTATTTTTCATGTGCATAATACATTGTATCTTGACTTTGAATTAATATTGAAATCTCTATTCACTTTTATACCACATGGCCAGTACTGACCAACAATGTCTATGTCCATTCCAGGTCCAACTACAGCCGGGGTACAGATTCTTCACATAGCCATAGGGACGTCCATATCTTCATTTTTCTGTATCATCCTTTTAATATGTGGATTTTACCACCGACGGAAATTTCGCTCAGAAAGGACTCCTCCTGATCATGATCATGTAGAAGTAAGATATGTGTCTGCTCCGACAGGGTGCAACACAACAGACAGACTCCTCATGGAGGAGAAGACTCAAGAGAGTCCTCGGTGTCAGAAGGTCTCTATGGTATGATGGAGGCTCGTTCTAGTGTATATAGGATTCAAATTATATGTTAAACACAGGCAGCAAGCAATTATGTACAACTGGGCACCACCGCTTCCGTGTATGAGTTGATGGCGTATGTTTGGAGTATACTTGTGCAGTACCATTGCAGTATACTTGGAGTCCCCTTTGTGCACATTAACAGTATACTTGAACAGTATTTTAAAGTCATAATTGTGGGGCAACTAAAGCTTTGTGTGGCATGCTGTAGAAAGCCTTCAAAGAAGCGAGATCCATTGTCTGAAGAAATGATCAAGGGAGAACTAGATTTCACCTCCCGTGGAAGAAGGATGTGTTTCTGATTGAAGAGCTCATGGTACCTTTTGCAGTCCAATGAAATGAAAGAAAATCAGAAAACTTTCATTGGCAGTGTACAAATTAGAAGAGAGTGCTTGTAGAATACTGGATATGTTTTTGTTTATTCATACAAAAGACAGTACCTTGAAGTTTTCTTGGCACTATCCAATGTACTTAATTTGCACTGTATCAAGGCCAGCTTGTATTGGAATGGTTCCATGTGGAATGTCTATAACATGGACATCAAGAACATTATACTACACTCATTACATTACAACAACCCATTGGTTATGGTGTTTCCACCAAACCCCCAAGTAAGTTGGCATTGCTTAGCTTTCATTATTTAATTGTGATCTCGGCTTCTTCTACATGATATTGAATGAACATTCTTATAGTTTTACACAACCTGGACATTTGACATCAATGTGTATGTCCTCTATTACATTCATCGGTACTTCACTCTATGGTACGTAGGACAAACCTGTTGTCTCTGCGATGCACATTTGGATTATTTAACAATTATGAATGGCTTGATTGGCTGTATATTCTATTGAAATGCATCCTGTTCTACAATAATGGATGAAACCCACAGTTCTTACCTAAATACAAGTGATAAATGACCTGAGTACTATGATAACCCTTGGTCCACTGAACTGAACCTCATGATGACAAGCACATGATCTCCTCGTGAAAGAAAGGTCTATTCATGAGTTTGTTCTTGTACTGGACTCCCTTGACATTCAGAACATCTCCAGGACAATGGACTCTCTTGACATTCAGAACATCTCCAGGACAACTGATAACCTGGTCCAGAAACTGATCATTTGTATGTCATCAGTAACCTAGTGCATATTATATGTACTTGCAACAGAAGTCAGTCCCAGATGTATTACCTACTTCATCCGAATGAAGACGACGAAGTCAGTCAACCCTTAAATGGCAGTACCATATGACAGAAATGACTATGTTGGATCTTGAAATGTAACTTGATGAAAGATCTTTGGAAAGAGTAATATGAAGTATTGTCACCCTGCATGATGGTAGGTACCAAACAGTTACCTCATGTACATGCTGCAAGTCTGAGTACATACGTCAAGTATTACCTCCACGACACACGCATCGGAACAGTTATCCTTCAGTTACTGTACTTCCTGTGGTGGTTGAGTTGAGACAACAAAGGATTCAGATGATTACATTGTATACCTGGCAATTAACAGGAGGAAGTTAATTGTGTTTTGACATATTTATGTGTACAGTTTCAAATGTAAGGAAGAAATGTGTACTGTCAAAATATCCCTACTATTGCACTGGACAGTATTAGTTGATCATTGATGTCCAAGTGTGCAGACTTTTTTTTTGTACATGCATATGTGTAAGAGAGACCCAGTGTATGGAGTATGGCCTAGAACAGTGCATGGTAATGTGTGTGCAGATGTGTAGAAATATGTTGTGTATGTACATTAACAGTACACAGGGAACAGTATTATTGTTGTGCTGTCAGAGTACATGTACAAAGGGTTTAGTTGATCATGACCAGTATGCATAGGCAGGACCCCTTTAAGAAGGCACTGAAGAAAAGGTGAACTGTGCTTGACCTATGTATGATTGCCACATGCAATCTGGCCTATTACTGCTTCTGGTCACGGATTGCCTGACATATGTCTGATTGTCACACGCAGTTCGGCCTATTACTGCTTCTGGTCACGGATTGCCTGACCTATGTATGATTGCCACACACAGTTTGGCCTATTACTGCTTCTGGTCATGGATTGCCTGACATATGTCTGATTGTCACACGCAGTTCGGCCTATTACTTCATCTGGTCATGGATTGTATGGAGGAGTCCTGGCCATGCCACTGTTAATATTTCAGCTATATAATGTGGCCTGCTCAATATTAGAAACCACAAGAAACAGCAGTTAAGGAACATTGGCAGTCGAGTGAGTGAGGCATGCTGGACACAATGGGTATTGGACAGACTCCCACAAGTACAATAAGCTCACATGTGTCTGTGTTAGTATACAGATGTGTTGGTCCTGAGGATGAGAATATATTGAGCTGTTCTGTGGACAGATAGGATGGAGAATGCATGTGTATTTGTTGTTATACTTGTGCATAGGTGGATGATATACAGTTGTTGCTTCTAACTATGTTGCTTGATTGGTATTAATGCTGTATGTATTTTCATGACACTGCCAGATGGAACAACAGAATATCTGGCAATAACTTATCTTTTCATACCAAAGCAATGTAAGATACGAGTGATTTATTGGTCATACATATATCCCTGTTCCACTGTAAATCAGCTTTACTTGATACTGGTATCAATGGTATCTATTTTTTCTTCATTGCCCCCTTTCTGTAATCTATGTTATGGCTTTTCCAGAAAGACAGTTTTAATGAAACTAAACTGTAAGAAACAAAATCTCCCAACCTCAGGAAATGTGGACGCAAATCAGGTAATTTATTTATTGTGGCCTAACAAAAGATATGATATGAAGTAACTTCACTCTGAGAGTTGTCAACCTTGTGTTACAAATGTAGCTGATTTCTGTTCATACTTCGCCCCCTCCAAATACTGGTTATGTTCATCCAGAGTTTAAACTACTCCATGTAGTCGGGGAGATAGTGGTGGTGCTCAACGGAAAGTGTATGGTATATTTAGCTGGCATTACACTGATATTAGAACAGGAGTATGCTAATTGCTTTGTTACAGTATCCTCTGAGCTGTCAGTCATGTTCTGAGAGAATCGGTAGCAAAATAATCCATCCGTAACATATGGCATTACTTGCTTCAATCCTGTAAATAATCTTGTATATTTGTGCAGATATATAAAAAATACTTCAAGAAAAGTTGTTTTTTTTGTGTATATGGGTTGTACTTAGTGAGGTAAACATAGAATTATTTCTGGATTCTATTTTATAGCTCAGCCAATTACTTCTATATCTAAGAATATCTTAATTCTGTTTACTTAGAGTTACATTCTGTTTTCTGTATATGTTCATGACATAAAACTTGGTCATTTGAAGAGATTCTGACCATTACTGTTGTGATGTTGCCGTTGGATGTCAGTAGTTTTAATATGAATACAAACTTATGTTGGAGATTTGGTCTAGTCTTTGCTTCAAAGATAGTGAGTATGTAGTTCTGTAGAGAGTTGTGTGTTTCAGTGAATGATACTGGACACCTCCCATGTGTTAACTGAGATCTGTAGTTAAAGTGATCCTGAGTGAATGAAATATGAAGTTCCTGCATGGACTGTACATGACTGTCTTGACTTTCTGTTGATCAGCTGACTTACAGTATGATCAGCTGTGATATTGATAAATGTGTCCATGATCATTCTTGTGTAGATTCAAATGTCTCCTATTCATGTGTACAGACCATGTGTACAGACAACATGTACAGTTTAACCATCAATTGTACAGAGGAGTGTACATGTGTTATGATGAATTCAAATATTTCTAAACATGAAAACAGTTGTGTGATTCTTCAACCATAAGTCATGTTTATACTTCAGTTTTTTTATATGTATAAAGTACATGTCACTTAACAGTTAAATGGTGTCATATTTCAACCCAATGCTCCAGCTTCACCTCATACAGATGCCCTTGCCACACACTGTAACAGAAGGTATCATGTCCAGTTTGTAATAGACACATAACCATGCATTTATAGGATTCATCTGAAGATAATGGAGGCACACAGATATATCATTGTGTACAAATACTACCATGTCCAAGTCCGAAATGTTTAGGTACAAGTGAAATTGCTATTGCCTGACACATACATACATGTATTGGCATTGAGATACACAGCCAACCAAAGGCCACACCTTCATTTATCCGCAGGCTACAGATTTAGTCTTGTATGAATGGCTAATATGTTGTGATCTGTCTCAGACACCCTGACTAATTTGTATAGATAAGGCATTTATTTGACAAAATTATTGTTCCATGAATGTATTGTTTTATAAAACAGTTAATTCAAGTCTTTGAAAGGCATTTAGAAGTGATACACATAAGGAAGAGAATATATGGATGTCAACTTGTTTATTATGAGGAACACAAATAGGACTTGTGTTGGTGGTAAAAATGAAGTGTTTCATTTTGATCTTGTGTTATCATTTAATCAATGTTTGGATTGACTATGTCTGAAGCTGAACAATAAGACATGTGGCATTATCTACATACAGACACATGTACAGCACAAGATGCACAGATACATCACATGTGTACAACATTCATTACAAATATATATACATGTACAACACATATTACAGATTGGGATTTATACATCAGTCAGGTATGTAATAATGACAAATACTATACAGAACACACAAATCTATATATGGCCATAAACTGGTGGGTTTGAAGCATTCTGATATACATTCTGCGATTTTGATGAATTTGTAAGTCTGCATATTTCCTGCAAATTTCATTTCATGTCTGTTAATTCCCAAAGTCATTTCTGTTTCAAAGTCAAAGAAATCGGGCATCAATTGTGCGAGATGATTATTTTTAGTAAATGTCTTCATTTATGCAAGAGTATTTCTTTATGGTTCAGAAGCTGTAATTCCCATATCAAGAATAAAACAGAGATATTTTAGTCATGTCACAAAACAGTCTACAGAAGTACCTTACATGATCTAAAATAGATTTGTTTCCTAAGTTTGTGTTGTCTATATATCTGACTGTGAGCTTGTGTAGCTTATTGCTCTAAATCTATATGTAACAGTGTCATTGCTCTGTTCAAAAGCGTAATTGTATATTGTAGCAATATCATTCATGTTGCTCTGTCCACTATGCACGCACATCTTCATAGGATCAAGCACTACTATCCATTTAGATTAACAATAACACCCATTTAGGTAAGAGGGAATATTTAAACCACCTGGAAACATGATCATTCTTACCGGTATAGAACTATTCAATATGTCATGTCAGTATTTGGAGGACGTCCAATGGAAAGACACTTAGCCCTATGTGTAGAAAACGCACCCATTTTTGAAGCTTTCTTCTCGTATGTGCGAAGTTATGAACTTGGTATTGTGACAACTGAACTGACAGTTTGCTTTAATGACCAACTGCTTGGATGTCCATGTGCTTCCTGCATCTGTTTTACATCATTAATTTTGTAGCAATGCTCATTGAATAGTGACTCACAGCTTAATGGTCATCAGTTACTGTTTGATGTGTCGCTCGAAGTCAGTCAAGGAGCAGTTCAAAATCCAGGGTCGGATTGATGTCTTAATTCCTTAACAGATCTGTAATATTTCCCTCAAATTGACGTTTCAGTGTTTTCTGTTCAAGTAAAACAGCACCAGTTCAAACTGTTGAATGTTACCCTGAAACTAAATGTCCTCATTATTGTACAGACGATGAAGTGGAAGAAAGAGTGTGCCAAAAGATGGTTTGGTCTTGTGTTGACATTGCGGCAATATTTGTTGTGCAGTGCTGTAGGCAATGATACTCCACATGTTTTTCTTTCTTCGAGTCTGCTAAGTTCCAGGGGAGGTGGTGTCTCAGAACTAATGGAATTAAGTTTGTTATCCAATGTCCAACTTTTGAACTGCCTCCTTACTTAGTATTATGATAATTGTTTGAAAAGTGATTGGGACTGAATATCCCTTTTCAAAAACAAGTGTCACTATGAAATATTGAGTGTGTCTCATTGCCTCTGCTTATACGATCATATGACACTCAGGAATAACATTACAACTTGCTGTCAGTGGTTTTTTTAAATGACTAACATTCAGTTTACAAAAGTCTCACAAGGAATGATATGCTGTGTTGATCATGATTACATTAGTACATCTTGACTGAATATTTGCTTTTCGTAAATCATTTCAAGTTCTTGATATATTCATAGCACAAGCTATATATTGCTCATTCACAGAGTTTAACTATCACTTTTTTTATCAAATCATTTTTATAACAAAGTACAACTTTTTGATGATACATATGTGTTTGCTTCATGATAATTGATTGCCCAGTGAATAGCTAGCATGCAGATTGTGAGGTCAAATTCTGTTTCCTCTGAGAATTACATTTGCGTGAACACTGTTCTTATTGGTGAGGTGTGTCATTGCTAATCATTCTCATTGCCAGTTACTGTATGTCCTATCAAGACCAGGTGACTCGTGTTTATGCTGTTGATTTACTTTGAAGATTAATCTGGGTTGTGTTACTGAATGTGCAGGTGACAACGTTAATGTATACAGGGAAAACGTGAAGATTTCTGGATAATAGCACGTTATATCTGGTCGGATCTGATCAAGTTTATCCCACCATACATTTCCCTTTCAACAAACCTCATTGCTAAGAAACATCTTACACATTTGGTAAAAACATATGTACCGAACAATTTAGGTCTGTGCCCAGCGGATTAACATTTTGTAGTTTAATGTAAATGATAGACTCACATTGAGTTCATTCGAAACATATCAGTCGTCCTTCTTGAAATCAAGTACAGACCTTACCTTGTGTTGAGGGGATGTTATACACTGACAGCTCATACAGCTACCTTGTGTTGAAACAAGGGGGATGTTACACACTGACAGCTCATACAGCTACCTTGTGTTGAAACAAGGGGGATGTTACACACTGACAGCTCAAACAGCTACCTTGTGTTGAAACAAGGGGGGTGTTACACACTGACAGCTCAAACAGCTACCTTGTGTTGAAACAAGAGGGGTGTTACACACTGACAGCTCATACAGCTACCTTGTGTTGAAACAAGGGGGATGTTACACACTGACAGCCCATACAGCTACCTTGTGTTGAAACAAGGGGGATGTTACACACTGACAGCTCATACAGCTACCTTGTGTTGAGGGGATGTTATACACTGACAGCTCATACAGCTACCTTGTGTTGAAACAAGGGGGATGTTACACACTGACAGCTCATACAGCTACCTTGTGTTGAAACAAGGGGGGTGTTACACACTGACAGCTTATACAGCTACCCTGTGTTGAAACAAGGGGGATGTTACACACTGACAGCTAATACAGCTACCTTGTGTTGAAACAAGGGGGGTGTTACACACTGACAGCTCATACAGCTACCTTGTGTTGAAACAAGGGGGATGTTACACACCGACAACTTATACAGCTACCTTGTGTTGAAACAAGGGGGGTGTGTAACACCGACAGCTTATACAGCTACCTTGTGTTGATACAAGGGGGGTGTTACACACTGACAGCTCATACAGCTACCTTGTGTTGAAACAAGGGGGGTGTTACACACTGACAGCTCATACAGCTACCCTGTGTTGAAACAAGGGGGGTGTTACACACTGACAGCTCATACAGCTACCCTGTGTTGAAACAAGGGGGATGTTACACACTGACAGCTCATACAGCTACCTTGTGTTGAAACAAGGGGGGTGTTACACACTGACAGCTCATACAGCTACCCTGTGTTGAAACAAGGGGGGTGTTACACACTGACAGCTCAAACAGCTACCTTGTGTTGAAACAAGGGGGGTGTTACACACTGACAGCTCAAACAGCTACCTTGTGTTGAAACAAGGGGGGTGTTACACACTGACAGCTCAAACAGCTACCTTGTGTTGAAACAAGTGAGATGTTACACACTGACAGCTCATACAGCTACCTTGTGTTGAAACAAGTGAGATGTTACACACTGACAGCTCATACAGCTACCTTGTGTTGAAACAAGTGAGATGTTACACACTGACAGCTTATACAGCTACCCTGTGTTGAAACAAGGGGGATGTTACACACTGACAGCTCATACAGCTACCTTGTGTTGAAACAAGTGAGATGTTACACACTGACAGCTCATACAGCTACCTTGTGTTGAAACAAGTGAGATGTTACACACTGACAGCTTATACAGCTACCCTGTGTTGAAACAAGGGGGATGTTACACACTGACAGCTCATACAGCTACCTTGTGTTGAAACAAGGGGGATGTTATACACTGACAGCTCAAACAGCTACCTTGTGTTGAAACAAGGGAGATGTTATACACTGACAGCTCATACAGCTACCTTGTGTTGAAACAAGGGGGATGTTATACACTGACAGCTCATACCTCTAACCTTGTGTTGAAACAAGGGGGGTGTTACACACTGACAGCTCAAACAGCTACCTTGTGTTGAAACAAGAGGGGTGTTACACACTGACAGCTCATACAGCTACCTTGTGTTGAAACAAGAGGGATGTTACACACTGACAGCTCATACAGCTACCTTGTGTTGAAACAAGAGGGGTGTTACACACTGACAGCTCATACAGCTACCTTGTGTTGAAACAACAGGGTGTTACACACTGACAGCTCAAACAGCTACCTTGACACTACTTCTTGAACAAATAGAACTTGTGTAGTGAAGGTGACTGTCAGGGAGAGTTTACCGCGGAAGGTGATGGCTCAAATATTAATAATGTGTTAGCCTCACTATGTTTACAGTGAATGTTAGATCCATTTATCTTTTTATTTACATTGGAGGCTTTCATATTGTTAAGAATAGTTTAACAATTCCCTTGACCTCTAACGCATGAAAATAAGCATGAGAATGGAAAATGTTTTATGCAGCTGAAACATTATATTCCAATTTACTCTTGTGAGGGATTGATTTTGACAAACATTTGACCATATACTAGACCCATGTACATGTTTGTGTTGTACACTAGACTGAAGACCTATTGTTTTGTTGGTGTTTCCACATTTTGTACATTGTAGATTACTGTTTGGAGCAACGAGATGTGCTGTGTGTATAGAGATTGAATGGTGTATGAATGGTGACAGGTGATTGTTTATTAACATATGACTAATATGTAAAATAAATTTATAAATATTTGCAAAAAAATGTGTTTGTTGTTATGTTTTACAGGAGCAGGGATGGTGAGATGTGTGGACAGGTTCCCATAAGTCTCAGGATTTAAGACAATATTGATTTGTTCCAGAATACACAATTGTTCGTCAGGTTTGACCCCAGAAAACATTCCCTGAGAATTTCTGCGATTCCACAACGTAAAGCCTACTCGGACCTGGAATTTGAACCAACCCACCTGACCCGAGCAAGGACATTTAGACAATAGGGTCACGCATGCCTCTCTCATCGATGCTCTTGATATCAATCACAGGATTGTCTGGTCCATACTCTATTATTTACAGACCACCATCATATATAGCTAGAATATTGCTGATGGCGTTAACCAACCAACCAACCAATCTAATGGCAAATGAGATTCTGCACCAGCCCTGTCTTATTAAAGATGGCTCTTAGTGAGGGCTTTACCTTGGTTTATATCTACTTTGTACTGCCAGTCATAATGAAGATGTTGTGCATAGTAATGGTGCTTGCTCTGTGACATTGCTCACTGCTCACTTCTGTATAAACACATGTAAAGAAGCATTTGGACAATTTTTAAGTCATAAAATAATGCATGTTAAAGTATATTAGAATTCTGTCAGAAACCATGCTCCCAACTTCTACATGGGAGAGATAATTCTTGTGTCAGTATTGAAAAAGAATACTGGACACTCTGTGCTGTGACAGTATTTCTTACCAGAATAGAATGAGACAGCTGGGCATAAAGCTGCTATTGCAGTTATATCATGATGTGTCAGGCTTGTGGTGTGGGAGGAAAGCTCGAAGTGATGCAGGTCTCAGACATTTACCACTTTGGTGAAATCCAGGTGCATGGGTATGGTGCTGACAAACCTAGAAACATAATCAGGGCAAATCAGAATTCAACCTACCACCATAGGTATTGTTGTAAGGTTGACAAGAGTGGGGTTTATCCTGTACACATGTATTCTCTTGTCCTGATGTGTTGTTATGCTTGAAGACATATCATCATATGTGTTGAACGTTGAAACTGTTAATTCAAGCGGAATACAAAACAAAGCAACCTTAAGATAGTTTTAATATCTCAACCTGCCTATTCAATGTTAGCACAGTACCAAAGTACTTCTGTGTAATGCATGTCATCGTATCCCAATTTCGTGGATCGATGCTCATGATGTCAATCACTGGATTGTCTAGTCCAGACTCGATTATTTACAGACCGCCATCATATAGCTGGAATATTGCTGAGTGCAGCGTTAAACAACGAACAAACAAAACAAACTTCTGTGTATACCATATTTATCAGGATGTCACGACATTAGGTGACACCAATGCACAGTCACCAAGTCATTGTATCAAACAGTGTGGAGCTGTTGGTCAGGTCATTGTATCTAACAGTGAGGACCGGTGGTCAGGTCATTGTACTTAACAGTGTAGATCTGGTGGTCAGGTCATTGTACTAACAGTGTGGAGCTGGTGGCCAGGTCATTGTATCCAACAGTGTGGACCTGGTGGTGAGGTCATTGTATCTAACAGTGTTGATCTGGTGGTCCAGTCATTGTATGTAACAGTGTGGCTCTGGTGGTGAGGTCATTCTAGTCAATCAGTAGATTGTAGCTCAAAATATCAATCACTGGATTTTCTGGTCCAGACTTGACTATTTACAGGTCATGGTCATACAGCTGGAATATTGCTGAGAGTGGTGTTAAACCACAAACAAAAAACTGTATAATGTTGTTGGTTTGACATGAGAGGACAATGTAATATTCGAAGGAACTTTATAGAACAATTATTAAAGACCAATGTTAAGCATCACCACATATTCTGAAATGTAAAACAGGGTTCAAAATTAACCATGAGACTCAAGGGTACTTGTCGTGTGAAAAGTTGAAAATTTAGGGGGCTTCCTTAATTCAAATACTATAGCAACAAACCTGGAGGACCCCAGGACCACCTTATTTTCAAACATAAAAACACAATTCATAACATTAAGGATTTCTGTTAATTTCAAACACTGCCTATGATTTTGGCCATTTCTAATGAGAAAAGTAATGGTGGACAGCCGGCGCTGACTCGGTGTATGCATGTCATTGCATCCTAGTTGGTTAATTGATGGGCATGATTTCAATCACCAGACATTATTTACAGATGCTGTCATATAGCTGAAATACTGCTGAATGTGGCGGTAAACAACAAACAAACAAAACTTAAATGTACAGCTTTGAGCCCCATAACTCTGCAGCTTCGATCCTCAGCACTAGTTTCTTGGGAGGTTTGGAAAAGTTAACTTTAATTTAGGTAAAAATAAATTCATAAAAATAGCTGATATTATAAGTCCCATTGTATATTACAGATGATATCAAAGTATTTCAGCCTGTGGTCTCTGAGAAAAAAAAGTCTGAAAGATTTTTTACCATTTTGGGGGGAAGTGATTTTTGTTTTCATTCTTCCACCTGGAACAGCTCTGAGTCAAAATGTGTTTCTATATAGCACATCAAGGTTATAGCTTGCTGTGCCCAGTGGATTTTGAGAAGTTATTAAACTTTAGATTACACATAATTGGGGCAATAATTGTACTGAGGCAAAGTTACGATCAAAACATGCTATTTACATACCATAGTCAGTGGCTACTCCTATTCAAATTATCTGAACAGATAACACACATGTAATGGCTAACAACTGCGTGCTTGCTAATTATACCAAACGATACTTTGGAAAGAGAGTTTTTAAAGAAACTTAATGTTGACAATATTAGAGAGATAGCATGCGAGTTTCATCATCGTTGTGGTTTTTTTATGAGAAATAGTCAAAACAACCCAAATTCACACTGGATACACTTACGGCGTATACAAGAATGTTGTTCATGCACAATTAGCTGTCATAATATTAATGAACATTGCTCCATTATTTCCTGGGAGGAGAGAGGATTGACACTAATGAGCATGTCTTGCCTCGGCCGCTTCCAACAGTGCCTGTTGGTGCAGCCGAATGCAAGTCTTGCTAGATCCGTGTCTACAACTTTATCCATACATGTAAAATATTTTTATAAAGTATTAATAGTGAAGATACTACCTTATGTATCCACGGGCTGATAAGGTATCCCATGACATATCATAGTTTGCTTATAAACAGCTAACATCGTCGTTATCATTTCTAAAAATCACTTCCTGGCCGCCATTTTGTTCAAGAAAGTTCAAGGTCGTGTTGGATGGTAGTAGACTTACGCGCGCTTAGTCTCTGAAAATATATAATTTTGAAAGAAACAATTCCATTTAAATTGAAAAGAAGCCCCAGTGAGAATGGAGATTCTTGAACCTGAGGAAAATCTAGATTTGCTATATTTAGGGGTTTTGCATTGCAGAAAGGCCTGGGCGGAAGGGATAAAAAATATGTTTTAGGGACAGTGACATTCTAGGGTCGCACTTTTACCCACACATACAAATCATGTTAATTTTGTCAATATCTCTATTTCCATCTTTTTCATTTGCAGTTTTATACGAGGGTAGGGATGAAGTTTAGTATTATTCCACCACTATGAATGTTTGCATATTCTTTTTAAAACAGTGTCAAATAGATATCTGTGTGTGTATATAAGAAGAATGTGTGACTCACAGTATTTTCGAGTTTCTTCTAATTACTTTCTGTGCCTGTCAGGTTCACACAGAATAGAAGATTTGGAGTTAGTCTCGATGTAATTGTGCAAGTTGAGACACACGCAGAAGGGGGTCAGTTTAGTTGAAATCTCCCATATAGTAAATTTAGATAGATCTTTCACAGAGGGCCTGAAACTGGTGACGTCAGGGCTCAAACACATTTTCCTTGCATCTTATAAAATAGACAGTGACTCAGCTATCAGTGGTATTAAGTCAAATCTCAGCTTGGCGTGAGAACCGTGTTTTAACAAATGTTTACAATCAAAAGGCTTGTGCTTCATGAATTGCAAGGATTTGCACAAATGCCATAATTCCTTTGTAGGAAGAATTGATATATGTTACCAAAACTTTCATGGAAAGTGGTTCTGCATTATGTAGGGACATTAAAGACAACGTCACGTGACGTGATGGCGAGAGAATGGGAACTAAAACGTATTGACCCTAAACAGAAAAAGAAACTTCTAGTTTTTCACAGCCCCTTAAAGAACTTTCGGGGATCATGAAATCATGCCATACAGTGTTAAACAGGAATACAAAATTTACAATGTACAATTTGTGTTTGTTTGTTTGTTTGTGTGACGCCGCACTCAGCAATAATCGAGCTCTATGATGGCGGTCTGTAAATAATCGAGTTTGGACCAGACAATCCAGGGATTGACATCATGAGCATCGATCCACGCAATTGGGATATCATGACATGCATCAACCAAGTCAACGAGCCGACCACCCAATCCCGTTAGTCGCCTCTTACGACAAGCATAAAGTGGCCAAAAGACTATATGATTTATTCCCAATTTCTTGGATTTAAGTGTAGCATAAATCTTCTAAATAACGTTCCTGGTATTACTGTTGAAGCAAACTATATAAAAATCATTTATACATCATGTGTTTTCT